GAGGCACTGCTCCAAAAGAGGGTTCAGACGCCGCATGGCACTATCCGGTCACAGAACAGACGGGTTAGTCACCGCGAAACCAAAATGGAGAGCCGGTTTAACCAGCACCATGGCAGAACCGCGCAATGCCTCACCGAAGGCCAGAGAGTTGGTTCGCAACTACATCGGCAGACACTCTAAGTGCATTCCAGGACGAATAGTTCGCCGTCGCGGCACAGAGCTCTACGAGGTCCACGTTGGCCAACCTATGTGGACTCGGTACATAAACCAAGTCCGGCCGACATGCAAAAAAACCTGCACAACAGGACGAGTGAGTTGAGCCTAGAGACACCCAGCCTGAGCACGAAGTTCGACGGCCACATTGAAAAGACAGGATCCGCAAGACGGTGAACGCTCAACTTCGAGGCTACGTCAATAAATTTCAATGGGGAGACGTTAAGCTGGATTCCGAGCCGACGCTGGTTTACAGTTCCCAGTTGGGGGGCTGCTACGTCCAGGAAGCCTATCCTGCACGCGATTGGCCAAAAGAATGGGCCACACGCCGGTCCAGTACCAAGCCGATTTCTGATTGGTCGAAAGCACTGATTCACGGGTTCACTGATTGATACACAGGATCGAAGCTTTCGCCCAAGTTTCCCTGGTCGACTTTGTTCTTCTCGTTCACCTGAAAGGCACAAGTGAATAAAAGGTGTGTCACCGCTCTTTATGTTCTCAGCGTGGGCTAGTATGCTTGCCAGCGCGAGGATGCACTTACGTAAATGTCTAGTACTGCTTTGGACTGGATTCTACAAAAAGCGTGGAGAACCGTCGGAGGCAGGTCATTCCATGCAGCCACTACCTAGAACTAGAAAAATTTAGCGTAATGAATATATGCGTTCTGAGCTTGAAAATCTTCTTACCGTGTCCCCGCTCTGTGTTTGCTGGGTCAACGGCTCGTGTGCTCGCGCCTTCGACGCACAGAGAATTTTTTGCAAAACCCTTGAGGGCGAAGTGAAAAATTTAACGTCGAAATGTTGCACCTCTTTGCATATGTGAGCAGTCCAAATATCACCTTCACCTGCCGTCACTTTTTGTGGTCTGTTCTAATCGGCGTCTTTTGAAAAATTTGACGCACATTCGGCTTTGAACCTCGTGTGCTATGGCTCCGGAGGTTGCTTCACGATCGTTCGTTGAGAAATTTGCATATGTTACGTTTGCATCCTTCACGGCATTTTAGAAGGCCTTAAATCAATACAGGAAGGATAACTTTCTGGTATTTGTACATTCATCCAGTAATCGAAGCACCAACGCTGTTTTTCGTTACGAATGGGTGTAACACAAATGCAGCAGGTGCCCTCCAAGACCAACTAAAAGCTGAAGAATCCGAGGAGGCTAGTAGGCCGAGCGTATTTTCTAATACAAAAGAGTACGCGAAGAACCAGTTGTCCAGTGTGGTTTTGTCTACGGAGGCAAAGGAACCGACTTGCAGTCACATCACATTGTCTTGAACACAACCACAAATTGTCGAAGTTTCTATACGACCGGCTTCCAGTTAATCGACGGCTAACCGAAGACGAGTTGGGCACCTGTAAGACCCTTCTGAAATATGGAACGCCGTCATGTGAGGTGCGGCGGATTAATTCAGCAAGATTCTTACCGCTCAGGATACATACAACTACCGCCGGAAGTGTCGACCGGCTGTGTTGAGTGGGTGCAGCATAGTTGGGTTTCAAAGTAGCAGTTGATATGCCTTCGATCCTGGCAAAACTTTGGGGAACCGGACGCGTGCTTGTGTGCCAGTCAGATGAAGCTCACTATAGCCACATGTGCTTCTCCCGACAGCAGCAGATAGCATTGTTCCGACGCTTTCCGTATGTAGTGAATGTGGACGGAATGCATGCAACAAAGCGCCTTGGGTAAGTTTTTTAAAGCATCTAATATTCGGCATGTAGAAAATCATTTAGCTGCAATACCCTTCCGGTGCCTAGCTGCCACGCCACCCGAAGGAAGCACGAGGGCTGGGATGCTACCACGTTGCCAAGCCTAGACAGGGGAAGTCGAGAGGTAGAGGTGGGGTTCGAAACACGAACGCTCCGGTCAAAAAAATTCGCGCTCAAACCACTCGAACCAGCTTGCCCCCTTCGGCAAGTAGACACAACTGTACTCTTTCCTGATAACGGACGGCACTGGAACCGGGCGTCCGGTTGTTTATGAACCCGTAGAGAGCGAGTAGTTTGCTCCCATGCGTAAACTGTTCGACTTATTCAAAGAAATTATGGACAAAACTTCTGTAATGGACAAGTTAGCGGTGCAAATGCGTGCAGCAAGAGTCGTGTTTGGCTTTGACGTTATGCTTTGCTATTTTTATGTCCGCAAGGCCATTAGGAAGCACGTATTTATCATTTAATATCCATGTATTTTGGTCATGGTCAAGTTCTGTGAATAGCCGGCACATGTTTCACCGCATGGTTCGCGTGGGCAACGCTGTACAGTAAGTTTCTTGTTCATCGTATTACATGCACAAAGATTCCGGCAAGACCTGCAAATTCTGCCCCGCACCGATCCTCGATTTATTGCCTATCTTACGGCACGCTGTTTGTACATCACCTGAAAATGGGCCATGCACGCACCGTCCAGAATAATTCATTGTGACCAACAACCGAGTGGAGAATACGAACGGCCGCCTTAAATACCGGGTGCACCACTCCGACACTTTGGAGCATGCAGTTCAAAAAGTATCCCGGCACACCGAGTGGCTCATGCGAGAGTCCGAGTTGCATACATGCTACCACTGCGACAGACTGCAAACCCTGGAGGGTGGCGCTTACGTTCTTAACGTGGTCTGTCGAATGACGACATATGCATGCTCTCTCGTTTTGAGGCACTCGGGACCGCTGCCGTATGAAAATGTTGGAACAAATAATGTGAGGTCAATCTACGTTATCTAACTTAGTTTGTGGAACGAGCATCCAGATGCTCCCAGACTGGTGACACCTGTGCTGGAGAATGCACACGCTCTTTCTATCAGCGATGTGGCTCCGCTGCATAAACCCGTTCTCTGTATTTTGAGATCAGTCCATTCCGAGCAGTAAGAACTATTCATCATTGACTTTTTCATAGCTTGCTTCCCAATCTGCCAACGATCGCTGTCGGATTACAACCTACCGGAAAATCCGAGCAGTAGAACTATTCATCATTGACTTTTTCATAGCTTGCTTCCCAATCTGCCAACGATCGCTGTCGGATTACAACCTACCGGAAAAATGTGTACTACTTACACTTGTTCTCATACTACCGCCGACGGCTTTTGACGGCCTTCGTAAACAACTGAATCGAGTGATGGATAAGCTTCAGAGGCTGGAACCCAGGAGGGCCACAGCCATCTTTGAGCGATTGATTGTTCAGGGGCATATCCTGCGTCGTCTAGGCTCAAAGCCCGTAGATGAATGCCTGCCGTTGGTGGTTGAGGCTACTTTATCTCAACCCAGATGGCGGTCTAGGAACTCAGGCCTGGGTTTTTTGTGTGCTTCGTGACCGCCTGATGACCACTGTAACCGCTGGCGTGCAACGGATCGCTTATCTTACCAAGCCGACTGTTGTGATGGTGAGCCTTTCCCGCAGTGTGGTGGTGCCCATCAGGTTTGTCCCAAAGGTGAGTCCACACGAAAATAAACTACTTTTGGTTGTTAGCCCCGGGCCCATCCAGAAAACGCAAAATGGTGCTTGCTAACCGGTCCGCAATGAGGGCGTCTTATGATGTTGCCCTGGACCGAGGCACAGAGTCCCAGCACGACGTGTCCCAGAAGTCTGTGTATGTCCGTGTTTTCGGGTCAAAAGAGGAGTACTCGGCAGCCGTAAATAAATGTCTGACAGCAACGACTAACGCTGTAGAGCGCCGGCTGGATGAAGGAGATGAAGATGATTTCATGTAACCAATCAGCTCCGGAAAGTTGGACTGTTAATGAGGCTCTATGCATTTCATGTAAGTCTGGCGTTTCTTGAAAAGTGCAGCAAGCGGGCGTGCGAAATAAACGCTGAAGTGTGTTTCGGGGTAAGTACTCCTACCAGATTGTCGGCTGCCCGCCCTATGGTGTATTTCGACAACCTAAATTATATCTCATTTCAGGACATCAACGGCCAAAATGAATACCCCTCGCGAACAATATCATGCGCCTCCCGGGAGGACAAATGTACACTTCAAAACGGCCAATATATCTCAGCATTTCATGACGTCCATTTCTTGAGCCTTTTCTCCGGTGCAGATGGATGGGTGCGCTCCTGCATCGTGTACCCCTAGCCGCGTGTTAGTCATGTGCGCCAGTTAGGTTCGATTAGCTGTCCAGTATGATCAACGTAGATTTGCTAACTGATTAAGCTCGAAATCTTCCTCACGAATTATGCAAGCTATAATGTAAATCTCTGCTTTTTGCTAGCCAACGTGCACGACATTTGGCGAATAACGAAAGTAGACTATGGAATTTTAACTGGCAACAGGAATCATCGACCAAAATTTGTTTGCACGAATGCACATACGCATATTTTGCATCTCCAAAGGCCATCTAGATTTTAGAATGTTCAGGGAGTATTTTCTGGTGGAAAACTATCTAAAAATTTCGTCGATTGTGAGTGGGTCAATGTTTTCTACAATTCGCGACTTTCTATTACATCGGACAACGTATTCGCAGTCGGTGGTGTTTGTTGACCTTGAGGATTTGCCCACTTAAACAAATCGCCATGGTAGATGATTTTCATTAATATGGGAACATATACAATATACATAGATGTTTTACAATGTGAAGTGGCAAGCCTGAACATGCCGTAGATTTCGAGAAATCAATCCTATTGTGCGAATACTGAGCGGCGTGAAAACCCTGTTAGCCAAGCTTTCCTCAAACAGGGCATAAGTAAGAATTGGGTGTCCTCAGAGGAGGCGATAATCTATAGAGAAGAAATCAAACATTGCGGGACGGGTATCGTAGTCCACAGATTTGAGGCCGCCATCCATTTACGTAGCGGCTCACTGGACCTGCTCAATCAGAGTGAAGTCTTTCGCGCGTCTTTCGGCGTATTCCAGGAGCGGTCTGACGTAGGCCTCATAGAGTATTTGGAAGTCCATGCAAGTAATACTGGAGAAGGTGCGTCGGATCATCCGTTAAAGGACGAATGCCTTTTGGGACGATTCCTCATCGTGCAGTGAGAAGGACGCGTTTGAGTAGGCCTAGGTACCCAAATCCTTTTTGGTGTCTATCCTCATGAGGTTTTCTGGTTCTCTCTCACCATGCATGAAAAGGCATTTGCTTAGTTTCCCTCAAATTTCATATGGGCGCACTTTTCATCATTCACAGGAAGGTGCCAGTCCAACGACCACTGCTTTGCAGCTTCTACATCCATTTGGAGGGCACCGGCATAGGAACTCCAGGATTTCAAGTCGTCCGCAAAAGTAGACATGAGCTTGCAAGAACATTTGGAAGGTCGATGACGTATATCAGAAACAGCAGTGGTCCCAGGATGGAGCATTGACGAACTCCAATAGAGACGGGCGCTGGAGAATAGCAGGTCGAAAATTATGGCGTCTAATATGAGTCCTTCGTCCTTGGTTTCAGTTAACCTGTGCATAAACGCGAGCATATTTGTCACGCAAGAACGGTTTAGGAGAAATCCGTGTTGAGCTGGAGATATCAGGTTGCTTGAACTAAGGTGATCTAAGATAGTTCGCTTCAGAATATGTTCCATCACCTTGCACGTCACGCTAGTGAGGCTCGTAGGCCTGTAGCTGCCAAGCGATAGTCAGTCACCAGTTTTGTAGATTGGCGTGATAATCGCTTCTTTCTAGGCAGAGTGAAAGCGGCCTCCGTGCAGCGGCTGACGAAACGCCAGGTGGACGACGTGTCTTTCAGGATCCATTGATGAAACTTGGGCCGCGTCGCACAGAATGGGTTTATATTGTGCAGGAGTTAAAAATGTCCTCCACCGTAAAGACCAGGTCG